CCAGTCCAATAATCTCACTTTCTCAGTGGCACTGTCTCTTGGACAAATCAGAAGCTCTGACGCTCAGGATTTTTACACATCCAATCAGATGGTTTCGTAGAGCAGCATCCCACTGAAGATGGTCAGAGGTTCGGAGGAGTAGGCCAGCTTCCCAGTTACAAGGTCGATACAGACCGTGTCCCCTTCCTCCATGGGTAGGATGATGTTAAAGACAGCTAATGCTCCAGGGATGTGCTTTGCCTCAGCCATGGGCTTCTCCAGGCCTTCAGGCTGATATCCGGCCGAGTCTGCTCGGGCCACACCAGTGTTGGACTTGGACAGCACTGCCTCGATCTTTATGTTTTTGTGGCCTGTCAGGATGCCACTGAAGAAGTACTTCCCACGCACAGGAGCTGTGAAATAACCTGAGGGACAGGACGAGGTCATAATGACACTGAGTTAAAATAAAGAAAACCTAAAACGATTGAAACGTCCGTTGTAGTGAAGCTCACCTGTTTTGGGATTGTAGGCGTTATTTTCATTGACAAAGACTTCATTGAACACTATGGTTCCCGTGTTCCTCATCGGGCGGGTCATGGCGGCAGAGAAGGAAAGGCGTGGCACGTGGGCATCGGAGCCTGGAGGACCTGATGATAGAGCAGAAACAAAGAGCAGGTGTTACTGTGGATTCGAGATCAAAGAGTTAGTCGCACTTTGATCTGCTGTTTGATAAGAACAACACATACCCTGTTCACCTCTGAGACCTGGAAAGTAAGATGAAAGATAACAACAGCGAGTTAGACCCAGCGATACCATTCCTCCTGTTTATATTTGATTTTTATCACATTGTTCATATGCAACATGTTAATGAAGAGACATCAAAGATGCACCAAATACGTCTGTTAATACACATGTTTATTTATAGAAAAAGTAAATTCAAGTCAGTTTATGGTATTCCTCATTGCTCTGACCTAAATTTACTCTTCTGAAGTTTGTGTCCCAGTGGAGACGGCTCACACATGGCTGGGTCGCATTACAAATTCATAGTTCTATAGTTTATGTTTTTTTGAGTAAAAATTTAGAGCAAATTACATTCTACTGCATTTTAGTTGGTGTGATGATTTAAGATGGTGGTAACTTTATTGTCCCCAATGGGAAATTGATTTGCAGTGTGTCCATAGAGAGATATAAAAAAACCAAACAAACAAACAAACACATACACACAAAAACATAAAAAATAAGCCCCGAGAAAACAGCCTAAATTTGATCATCTAGTTGAGAATTATGCCAATTATCAGCCAAATAAAAATGATTTGCTGTGATTGTTCAAGAAGCCTGTTTGGTGAAAGGTTTTACCAGGAGTCACATCCAAACGGTACAAATGCACATTCTTAAATAACATAGCTAACTTCAGCTAGCTTGATTAAGCTTAACTTCCATCTTTTGGCCTAAGATGATCACTGCTCTGGTTCCAACACTGGGCCTACAGTATTTACCTGGGGGTCCCATTGGTCCCAGTTCGCCATCTCTGCCCTGAGGTCCTATCCTCCCTTCGGGTCCCATCGGCCCCCGGGGCCCTTGCTCTCCTCGGAGCCCAGGTGGACCAGGTGGACCTGCAGGAGTGCAATGTTTGGTGAGACGGGAAACACTCCAGGAAAAGTTCTCTTTACCAGTAACGCTCTCCTTAAAGAGAACTCGTGGGACGTGCCCTTTACTCTCATATTTACTAAAACTTAGCTTTTAGGCAGGGAGCACAATTTAAATCATTTTATGACAACTGCCTGGAATCTTTCTTTCAGTCCAAACGTACCTCCCTTCAGTTGGGAGCAACTATCTCTCGACCAGCATTCAAATCCCACGCCATCTGCCCTCTGTGACTCACCCTTAAAGTCCCGTGTTTTGAATCTGTGGAAGTCTCTGACCAAGTCGACCACTGAAGAGTTCAGCCTGTGTATGTTGGAGTGGATGTGAGGCAGCTGGACGTTCTGGATATTTTCAACAGCATTTCCTTGAGAAATAACTGTGACATTGAGTCCATTAACAGAGGTCCACAGCCCAGACACATGTCGGTCCAAGCCCTCCTTGATGCCCTCCAGCTTTCCAGAAAACGAGTCGAAGCGCCCAGACACTTTTTCGAGGTTGGAGAGCCTTCGATCGAGGCCGTCACTGGACCTCCGGCACTCGCCGATCTCAGTCACATGGTTGCTCCTAATTATTTGGATGTCTCTGCCCAGATCGCTGAATCGAGTGTCTGAGTCAGCGACGTGGTCTGCCAGGACCGTTTGCAGGTTGTTCACCTTGAAAAGAGTGTTGAAAGTTCTACTATGAAAAGACTTTTCTGTTTTCCGTTGCTCCACAATTTATTCTCCTACGGTCAGCACATCATCCCTCAGAAACCCCAAATATCTGTAATATCCTATTTTCATACCTGCATTAATATTCTATGAAAACGGCTCCAAAGGTAACCACGATGCATTTGGACATTTTTATGAATTTCTCTTGTTTTTTATTGAACTTCTGTTTTCTTTTGTGTGCTTTTGCATCATTTTCTGTTTGCTGGTGTTTTCTTGACTTGCAGTGCATTTGAACTGAACACTGCTCTTTCTGTTTTTCCAGGCAGTTCCCGCTGCTATGCCTGCTGATCCAAGCTACCAACAGTCACACTGATATAGTCTCCTTGTTTCGGTTCATTACTTACTTTATCCACAATGCAATGCAGAAAAAGCCTTTAATGGCTTTAAAAGGTTCACATGTCAAACAGATGTGTGCATAACTAGGCTATTATCTGCATCACAGTCTTACCTCAACGATGATATTGTCCTTAATGTGGGTCAGATCTGTTATCGTGTGCCCGTGTGTCTGCACAGTCCTTCCCAGGCCCTTCAGAGTGTCATTAATGGAGCTAAAAGTATCCATGACCTCAGCCAGCTCTCCTTGGACAGACTTCAGATCCCCTCCTAATTTTCCACTATGTACAGTGTGGCCTTCCAGACGTTTCTTTAGATCATTTATGTTGGTTTTACACTGTACCGTGCACTCCTCCACGTCCTCTCTGAGTCGTCCCACCTCCTCCTGGAGGTTGGAGCAAACCTGAGAGCAGACAGATTCTCCCGAGTCGACTTTTCTGCGCAGATCCGTCAGTGCCGTCTGGCATCTGTTGAGGCTGATCGTGGTGGAGTTTTTAAATGTGAGCAGGTCCTTTTCTACAGTGCTGCATATCAAACACTCCTTAAAATCGCGGCCCAAAGTTTCCACTTCAGTGAAGATCCTGTTGAAGTGCTCGCCGTCCTTCCCGGTCACAGCTGTTATCTTTTTCACATCAGTTGTTAAGTTGATCACTCTCTCGAGCAGCGAGTCTCCTGACACCGACAGGTTGTTCAGCTTGGTGTTAAACCTTTGGATCTCATCCTGGTTGGCCACAACCCTCCACTCTAAAGTTTTCACAGTTTCATCACTCGTTCGGTCTCTTGCGTTCGGCCCGCAGGTGTCTCTGCACATGTCTGTGGTTGATGTTAGCCGTCTGTCGAGGAAGGTCGTGATGTTCTCCAGCTTGCTTAAACGTCGACTGTGGTCCTTGACCGTGTCTCCGAGAACAGCCACATCCAGCTCTACTTTCCCGATCTTGTAGCTGTGGTCATCGAGCTGAACGAGGACCGAGTTTCGCAGCTGAGTGACGTCTCTCTGCACCGTTTCTTTCATGTTGTTCCCGGTGTTAGTACACCTCTGCTCCGTCTTCCTCATTGTGGTGTTCATCCTCTTCTCCAGTTCTCTTAGCCTGCCGTTCAGCCGGTCCTCTGTCACTCTTCCCTTTCCTCCACCCGTCCCAGCGAGCTCCTTATCCAGCCGCCCTTTAATAGCGTCACACTTGTTTGCAGTGGAGGTGAGTCGGACTTCGACATCAGACAGCCTCCTTCCCAGCTCGGTGACCGTGTTGCAGCAGGCCTGTGAGCGCTCGGTCTCGCTGCGAGAGATTTCCAAGCTTTGCCTCAAGTGCTGGTCTATGGAGCTGAGCCTCTTTTCCAGGGCTGCAATCCGGTCCCTGTCCTGCTGCTGCTGGCGCCTCAGGTCCTCCACGCCGACCTGGTGATAACGAGACATACGAGACCGTCATGATGTCAGGCTCATATTTTTTCAACATGAAACTTTGATTTTTTTGTGATTTCTAAGGGTTTCAAAGGTACTTTTCCTGAACTGTAGGTTTGCTTTGTTGTCCTGCTTGTCAGTAATTGTATCTCTATTCTAATACCATGTGTATTACTTCACTCTATAGGAGAAAAGCACTGAGCCATCGACACACTACACCAACAGGAAAGCTGCATAGCCCTGGAGAGTCAAGTGTTTGTGCTGATGTTTTATTATTTTTATTGTTTTATGGATCACTGTTTACTTAACACAGGCCAGGAAATCAAGTGTGGGATGGTGGAGGTGGGACCACGACCAAACCTCTCTTTAATCTTCTTACCAAAGGTTACGGCGCTCCGTTAAAAGGAAGGACGCTCTGATCCCCGGCCTGTAAATATCACTCATTGTGTAATATTGCAAAGAATGTTTTCATATATTATGTATACAGTGCATGCTGAGGCTATAGTAAAGATAAATATTTTTGTCTTGAGCAAACATGTTTGTTTACTTCATCCAATCCCTGCAGGACACCGGCACTCGAGGCCTGGAGTTGCCCACCCCTGTCCTACTGACTGAGATCACAGCTGGCAAAAACACGGACAGTAGGAAGTGAGGCTAAGCTAATGCTAGTGCCTCAAACCTGCATTCTACCTGAAGACCAACAGGTGGCGACAGCTGTGGTTATAAAAAGACTCACGGTAGTCCTGTCAATGACTTTGTGCCTCTGCAAACACTTTCCTGCTTGGTTTATGGGCTCATTTACTCTTTTCGTGTCATACTGAATAAAAAAGTACATTTACAAACCTTCGTCATTCCACCTATTTTACTCTTGTGTGAAAGGCTTTATGGCCTTGTTTTGAAACAGGTGCTATATAAATCAAGCATCAGTCAGCACGGGGTGTTTGGGCTGACAGCTAGCCAAAAGTGTGCGAAGCTTCCACACAGGAAGCGACTAACAGTGACATGGAGACCATGGACAGAAAACCTGCTGATGATGTAAAGCGCTCAGGCTAAACTTTTCTCATTTTTGAGGTAAATACATTCGCTGAGCGCCAATAAGACCAGAGTGTACATACGGCGACAGACGCAACGACATAACGTCCTCTAGTTTACGCAACAGGTGTAGGTGTCATTGTAGAAGCTGCCGAGTGTACTACGACAATCACGCCCTGCTGCGACGCTTTGTATGCAGCATTTTAGGTCACATGTGCTCAGAGTGAAGATCTGAGGAGCACCTGGGACACACAAAGGCTTTGTGCTATGGTGTGCGCAAGTGTGGGGCCCTTCATGTGTCGACGCCCACAAGGAGCCATGACAGCATCGAGGCAAATAAAAACTCACTTTATCTGATTCATGTTGAATCCCAACAGAAATGTAATGCAGCTGGTGACTGCTTCCTTATTGTCGCTGCACTTTTCTCATCTCTTTCTAAACTAATCCTTTTTCACTGTTTGTTTGTGCAGCGGTTTATGCTGCAGCGTGGGGCCATTATCTTTTACTGCTTTGGGCAGAAGAAATTGCTTCCCACAGGGCAAAGGCATGAACATCGAACTGTAAACGAACCACAAGTACGCCTCCATTTTTTATTGGTGGTGGGGGAATAATGGTGATTGTTGCCATATTGATATAATTGTGACATAATGAATGAGGACATGTTGACTTTACCTGACAGGACGAGCAGGACAGAGACACCCTCCTCTCCAGCTCTGTCAGTATCTCTTCCTTTAGGATGTTCAGCTGGTCACCTCCAGCTCCTCCTCGGCCTGCTCCGTCCAGCTCGTTACCTCCTCCATTCACCAGGTGGTTGTTGATCGTAAGCAGCGTCTGATCATGTGCCTGAACGACCACAGCAGTCACAGAAATGAGCATCATCCCTGCTCGCGTGCACAAACAGCAGACTTCTGCACAGCCACAGTTACCTGTGTTCTGTTATAGAGATGATCCAGCTTCGTCTGGATGCTGTTGATGGTTTCCTTCATGTGTGGTTGAGCTGAATCTGCAGGGACGATGGCCCCCGTCAGCCCGTGCCTATGAGACAGAAACAGTTTTGATTCCCTCGCGTGTGAGAAGTTTGCATCCACTCCAAAGCTGAGGTATATCTCCAGTGCAATAAACAGGAATTGAAAGTGTGGCGTCCATGCGTGACCCTAACAACACTTTAGCTTCTTTATTTCCACTAAACAGCGTCTCACTAACACTAAACTCAGTCCATGAAATAAAGCACGTGTGTTAAAAACATCAGTGACGTACAGCCTCTGGTTTATGCCACTGATGGTGGTCTGCATGTTGTTGAGGTCTTTGGTCAGGCCATGAATGGTGTTCTCCAGCTGCCTGATCTTCTCTGTGTCTCCTGGACAAAAGGAAAGGAAAGTGTAAAATGTGCTGCTTATGTCTCCACATGTTTTTCAGTCAACTACTTACACTGACTGTTTTCATGTTTCCAGATTTGGACCATGTTGCAGTAATAAAGGAAACACACAGTTCACTGCGGTTCATACGTGTGACACACATGATACGGCAGCCTGAGCTTCTTTTTTTCATGTTATGACCATTTGATGTTTTCAAGGCTTTAAAAGCAGTCGTCCTTTATCAGAGGCCACAAGTCTTCTTTCGTATCAAAACTCAGAAGATAAAGAATATTTTATGATTTGTTTGTAATTTCACCTTCTCCTCCCCGCTGCCCACCACCTGTGTCCGTGACGCCAGTCTCAGGCGTCCCCTGTGGTCCGCTGTGGCAGTCCTCCCCGGAGTAACCATGGCAACACCTCCACTCCATTTCTGTCACCATCTTGTAAGCCACTTTATATCTTGGTCTCCTGTACGTCCGATAGCTGCGGATGAAAAAGGAGTTTGTGAAACGACATCCAGATCCGTGTTTTCACGCTTTCATCTCGATTGTTTTTAGTTTGTGTTGGTCGTCTTTATGGTGTCCCACATGGAAGAGAAATAGAAAAAACTTATAATAATAATAATAATGGATTGGATTTATATAGCGCTTTTCAAGGCACCCAAAGCGCTTCACAATGCCACTATTCATTCACTCTCGCATTCACACACTTATAAAAGACTTGCATCAGATGTGGTCTACTTCATATAGTGAATCATAAAAGGCTGATATGATTCAGTCATGAACGTGGCCACTTTCTCAGTACTTTCATATATTGTTTCAGGAAGTATCCAAAACATACAAGTTTCATTTATATAATTTTTAAGGATCTTATATCTGTTTTCACTCTGCTTTTCATACAAGTTTCACACAAGACAGATACAGACTTTATAAGATTTATATATATCTTTTCCATATGCGGTGGCTCAAAAATTGTTTTATTTTCTACGGCCAAATTTAGCTTTATATTAGTCTTTTTTTGGTATCATTGTATGGAGCGTAGAAAAGTCAGGATAGATTTTAGAAAACATCTATAGGCATACATGTATTAGCCTGTCAGCATGCTATCATCTGTGTTTGGTTTCAAGGTGCAGCCGTGCCTGAGTACAGCCTCACAGATCACTAATACAGCACCAAACTTTCTGCCTTCAAAAACTGCAGCCAACTTGTTCCCGGTGATGACTCTGCAAGATTTAATATTTGCAATGTAACCAAGTCAAAGACCCGCAGCGGCCCCTAAACCCTGCATGACACATCATCATTGTGCTGTACACTGATATTCATGTGCAAAGGTCATTATATGTGAGGAAAATCACAGCAAATCATCTACTGATGATGAATGAGATTACAGGGACTTTAAATTCCCATTTTCCAAAGGAACTGCACTGAGCCAGGACAAAATCTCGTTCTTAGAGCATTCCTTTGCAAAAAAAGAAAAGAATGTTTTATTTGGAAAGCTTTGCTGGAGTCGTATCATTAATGTGCCACTCAGCTCTGCTTCAGGAGAGGTCTTATTTGCAGTCCTAACACAATAAATAGACCAAAAATTGGCCAAAGCTCTCACAGGCATGTTAACAAGCCGCGGCTGCAAACGTTTTTTTCCTTTCGTGACTTTACTGTAGGTAACACAGAAAAAAGTCTTCCAGCTCCCTTTTCTGTGAGCGTGAGAAAAAAGGTCCTCGTAGAAGAAAAACAAAACAGGGCTCGGAGAAATGGGAGCAGGAGCTGGGCAGAGTTAGCGAGTGAAAGTGAGAGAATCATAAAAGGAAGAAACAGAGCAAGAGAAGATTGTTTTTGCAGGGCAGGAGACGAGACTGCGGTGCCTGGAACTCCTGTCGGCTTCATTCTTAGCATAGCCCAGGTTTAGACCGAGGCCCCTGGCAGCATCGGGATCAAGCGGCAAGGCCAGGGTTAGACAACACAGTGAAAACTTCAAAGGAGGGAAAACATCAGCAATGCTCGATTCATGTTTTCTCCAAGCATTACATCCACAACTGGAAAACCCATTTAGCGAGTCCTATCTCTAGTAAATGTGCTCCGTTACTTGTAATAGTTCACCCGTCTGCACCAAAGAGACTTTATCACTGAGATTACCCAGAGACCAGTACGCAGCTTCAACCAGGCGCCCTCCTGACCTCGTGGTTGAAGCCCGGGAGACAAAAGATTGAGAGAGCTGAGTGAAGTTTACAGACAGGAAATAGAACAAGATGATGGACACAGGGAGCAGGACTCCTGCGGCTTTGAAGATGGCAAGGCTAAACTCGGGATAGAATCCGGAAACACGGAGACGAGGCATAAATACTCACGCTACTCGAGGACACTGTCCCCAGGCACAGCGCTGGTAGTCCGGCTTGATGTACGTCTCCACGCCATCCTCCATCACGCAGCTAACCGTGCGCGTCACCACATAAGCGCACCAGTTCCTATTGAAGCAGGGAAAAGGAAATGGCAGATGAATGAGTGTGTGATGGCTATCGGTTAGCTCAGAGTTTCGAGTCAGGCGTTAACACAAACATAGCACCTCACCCTCACTCCGGTTCTACGTTCCCCGGCACAGAAAACAGGGAAGGAATGACAAACAAACCTCTGGTCACACGTTGAATGTGAGTCTGCACTGTTTGGAGTTTTTGTAGATTAATATCTCAGACTTTAGACTTGGAGTTATTGTTCTGTGCTACACTCCAGGAAAATTGGTGCAAAAGTCAGATCATGTATGATAAGTACATGAATTTAACAATGACTGCTACACACCAAGTTCACTGCAGTATTTATACTGCATCTCTTTGCAGGAAACACAGAGTTACATTTATTCACAAATGCTCAGCATAACGTTTATAAAAGCCTGTCAGATGCATGATTTCTTATCTCTTTCCACAAATCTGAGAAGTCGTGAACCAGGGTTCACATCTTCTTGGAAAGTAACTGCAAAAGTAAATTCGATTTTCTCTGCAAAGTTTTCAGGTCATTACAGCAGTTTTAAAAAATGAAGCAATACCTTCATAAACCAATCTCAGTGTATGCATGGGTATAAGTCACTGCTGCTATTAAATATTAGAAAATATTCACAATGTATTAAGTATCTGTAAGCTTCAGGTAGATACACTGTAAATGTGCTTTAAGTATGAAAGTGCCTGTTTGCGTTTTTCCTTACAGATAACAATATAAAAATAAAAGAAATATTCATTTCAGATCTGGCTCACATACCTCAAAGAATGACGGCCCTTTGGTGGCCCAGATTTGGTTTGCCAAAAGTGGCCCACACATGGGCCAGCAGCAGACACACCGCTGGCCCTGTGATGGCCCAGAACAGAGTCAGCCTAATGTGTACCTTAATCAAGCCATGTAATAACAACATGTGCCGAACATAATAGTGCAAAAGTAACATGACGAAACTGCTCAGACAGTGAACGGACTGATTCCTATATAACATTTTTCTACTCTCGCAGATTACTGAAAGTGCTCCATACAACATTGACACGTAACTATATTTCCTGTCTTTGTTAACTTTGATGTTCCAAAGCTACAAGCTGGTTGTGCTAATACTGGGTTACTTAGTGGACTTCACACAAGAATCACACAAAAAGCTGAAGTTAGTTTATGACAGTAACCTCACTCTACACTGTCCACATAGTGTTCTCTCTGGTTGTTTCACTGTATTTGAGCCTACAGCAACTCAGTGCATTTAGGTGCGTAGACATGGTCAACATGACCTGCTAAACTGCTAAACTGCTAAACCAGACAGGTTTGATTGGGATTGTCGCACATGAACACTTTTTCTGATTTTTCTGTGATCAAATGTTAATGTCAGAGAGAGTGTCCAGACTACTTCAAGCTGATAGAAAGGGAACACTGCTATCAGCTAAGAACAGAATCCTCAGACTACAGCTAGCACAGGCTCATTAAAAAGAAGATTTGAAAACCATTGCCTGGTCTGATGAGTCTGCATTTCTGCTGCAACATTCAAACAGAGTCCAAATTTGGTGTAAAAACCATGAAAGCATGGATCCATCCTTCCTTCTATTAATGGGTCAGGCTGCTGGTGGTAAAACTGCGTTTGATGCCACTTTGGGCCGCTTACTACGAACTAAGCATCAATTAAACAACCATCCAATTATGACCACACCTACCCATCTCCTAATGGCTGCTTCCAGCAGGAAAATGGACCATGTAACAGAGGTACAATCATCTCAAACTGGTTTCATGAGTTCACTGCACTCAAATCCCAGAGTCACCGGATCCCAATCCTACTGGGTCACCTTTGGTGCAAAAAGACATTCACATCATGGATCTCAGCAACTGTGTGATGCTGTCATGTCAATATAGACATGAATCTTCAATGAATCTTTACAGCACTTGATTGAAGCATCGAGAATTAAAGTAGTTCTGAACGCTAAAGGGAATCTGACCTAATGTCTGTGAAGGTTCTCAGTCATCCAGATCATCGTAGTATGAGGAGCTTGGAAAGCTCCTTAGAAGTTCAAACTGAAGGTGAAACGTCTTCAAGCAACTTAAAGAAGTCCAGTTTCTTTCCAAGCTCCTTAGACCAATCTGTCCTAATACTAACAAGGTGTACTATATATGGTGCACACACGTGTCACTGCTGACAGGGTAACCCTCTGATCAACCCTCTGATCAACCCTCTGAACCACCGATTCCCACCTGTTCAAGGAAACACGATGTTCATTGATCCTACAGTGCGCACATGGAAAACCACACCAAGCATAAAGTGGCTGCAAAGAGCAAAGTTACAGATCGACAGCAGCATGCATCCAGAGTTATGTTTCCCGGTGAAGTATTCACTCGCGTCATGTACTTTCCCCTCCTTCACTGAGCCCTGAGGGGACGGTAAGTAAGTAAAGTTTATTTATTAAGCGCTTTTCATAGACAGGCCGTCACAAAGCGCTGTACACAGAGATTAAAATAAACAGAAAGTTAACTAACAAAATAGACAATATACACAATATAAAGGGTTAAATAAATGAGTAAAATAGTAAAATAACGCTGCAGCTCCTAAGAGCTTCTTGTTCACAGTCTGGTGGCTAACTTTGTGACTTCAGTGGAAACAGCTGCCCGCTGTGGCTCAAATAACTCTGGCTGCTTAACTGAAAAGAACTTTTCACACTAAATTAAATCCAATGTTGATAAAATAATGCTCATTATAGCAGCTCTCTAATGCTAGGTTCAGGTTTTAACTTAATCCATGCTTTTCACGCCAACTCAAATATTAATCCTAAAATAATTCCCATGAAGTGGACGGTCAAACATTTGTTAAAACAGCAAAAACCCATAAACATGCTTTCATAGCACGACGCCCCCACACACTCCCACAGTCTGCAGGCTACTCCGTTTGTCCTCGTCTGCCTCATCGCCCTTGACCCTCTGATGTCTCTCTTGATAACGGCTGCAGATAGATTTGAGACACAGACGTCCTTCAGTCACTTTCTATCATCATTTTCATATTACCCACAATCCCCATCTGCTGCTATTTCTCCAGTGGTCATTACGGCCAATTAGTGTCACTCCCAGAGTATCTACGCAGAACTATGAAGTGTTT